GGGGTCCCCCACTTCCGTGTAAACAGGCCCTAAGAACTGAAATCAGCTGAAAGATACTGAAATGTGAGCTTCAGCCCATAGCATTGTGGGAAATATCAACAACTGCAGTCTTCTGTCATCTTGTTAATGGACGAAGAGTCTGATTGTTTTGCAGGAGTTGCGGACGATATTGCCACAAATCATACAAAGCCAAGTGTAAATAGTGAGGGGACAATCTTTTTTCGGCTGAGCTTTCTGTTACAAAAGACCGGTCAAGCAAAACGATCGTGATACGCGCATACCGTGACACACTCAATCGAAACATGACGCAATTTAATCTTTGTTTCCGGGTAGCTTTTCTCGCTGCACTTCTTCCATTGACTTCAGGTGAGCACTGCATCATTTTTAATCAATTAGAAAGGTTTATTTTTCTATGTTAAAATTTACGTTCAGGTTACTTGATTGGAGATTTCTTTCAGTCATGAGTGCTGTAGCCGTAGGCTTTCTCCCACAGTCACAGGTTAATCCTCAATGCGGACAGAATCGACATCAGAAAGAAACGAGGGTCCGTTGGGATTCCTTTTTTTTTTAATTAAAATGTCACCTTAAAAAGAATAGTACAGTTTAAAATTTATTTACTATTACATCAAGCTCAATTTGGATGCATGGAGAACTATACGAAAGTGAAATTAAACTTAATTATTCAGCAATTCGAAATACAGACGGTTCTGAAACTATTGTGTTTCAACGAAGTAATTGTGTGATAAGATTTGCTTCAATTTCAGGTTAAAGTACTCTTGGAAATTTATTCCAACTTTCCTATCTACTCAAAAGCTTTGAATTTGGATAGGTCTGTACATTTTTGCCTCTCGTCCCCTTATTGTACATTTACACTAAAAGTCAACTTCTCTTTGCTCCAAGGAAGGTTAATGACCTAGGTTTCTCAAATTCACTACAGCAATTTATTTTCCTTTATATCTATCTTCCTTCAATGCCTTTGATGCAGCACAACAGTTTTTCGAAACTTGAATCTTTCCTCATTTTCTTTAAAAATGGACACCTTGAAAAGTGGCACCTATAATGTTTAAAATTTGCTGTTTTAATGATCACATTCAGATTACTTCCTAATTTATAATAAAATTGACAAATAATTTTAGAGGCAGACCAGCTCTATTTATTACTATTTGTGACATCAGGACTCTATGAGACATGCCTTATAAAGAGATTCAAGATATGCATATGTTTCTCACATCCAACCATTATCCATGTTACTATAATTATTATGACTGTGTTATAGTGCAAATGTAAATCTTGTTTCCACAGGGGCTTGTGTTGACTTTTGCCTTGGAATGGGAAGTGGAACAATTCCAGATAGTGATATAAATGCTTCTTCAGTACAAAGTGCCAGCACACCAGCCAAGAATGGTCGACTAAACTACACATCAGGATCATCATGGTGTGCAGGAACAAGTGACACCAACCCATATCTACAGATTGATCTTCAGACACTTCATATCATCTGTGCTGTGTCCACTCAAGGGAATTCTCAAGCAGATCAGTGGGTGAAGACCTACACTCTACAATTATCCACAGATGGGACAACTTGGACAGATTATAAGGAAGGTGGACAGGTTAAGGTATGCCACGTGGGCTGGTCCAGAATTATATCATATCTTGACTCAATCACTGTTCCTGAGTTTTGATAATATTGATGCATTAATATCAAAATGTCTACCAAAGGAGTGATAGGTATGCAGAGGATTAGTATTAAAATAAAAATTCAACAAGTATTCTCCTCCTCATGCTCAGCAAATATGAATTTTGAGTAAATACCTCTCATTCAGCAAATGATATTTTGCATGCCTGAATTTACAGTCAAGACTGCAGAGAGAGTACCAGGGAGAAATGGACAGGGAATTTAATTAATTGTTTTGAACTACGTTATTCCACCCAACATTACAGTGCTGTGAAATAGTTTGTCAAAGGAGTGCAGAACCAACGATTTCTAATTACTGAGAGATTGTTGCTCTCGATCCAACAATTGAAGTAATGAAATGATTGTTACATGTAAAGTGCAGTTGTAGAAATTAGATAGAGTTCACCTTTTAGGGTCAGTGTGCTTTTTTTTTTATAATCCAGTGGTCAAATTATGATTTATTTATATATGCTTAGTAACACTGTCCGTATGGACCTCTTCCATAAATGTTGGGTCTTATTCCTACACCTACATTATATCTTTTTCTGCTTGTATAAAGATTAATTTAGCCACCTTGCCCAAATTTTTTGACAACAATAAATTAAAGTATTTCCTGTCATGAAACAAGAGGTAAAGTAATGATGATTACTTTCACCAGGATGAAGAGTTACAATTATAGTTACCTTGCACTATCTTTGTGGAACTGACTATGATGAGCTCTGATTATTTTTCTAAGGTTTTAGAGGGAAACAAGGATATAAACTCAAATGTCAAGCATGTTCTATATGGATTGTTAACAAGATATTTGCGATTCCTGCCACAAACACACCAAGGTGAGGTGTGTATGAGAACAGAGGTGTTTGGGGTGCCACAGAAGCCAAGTAAGTATAAAAAGTTTTGTGTAATGTGATCCCTGCATTTGCTAATCTATGAACAAAAGGGCCCAAGCCTAGTGGTTTTGTTATTTTGTTTATAATTGTTATTTGGATAAGTAGCTTTAATGATACAAACCACTCTTTGAGCACCTGAGGAAAACAACCCAGCCATTGTGACAAGCTTCTTATGCTTATCCAGGTGACAGGATGCACCAATTTCTACTTCATATATAGTGATGGATAGTTTTATTGCTTAGGCCTGTAGGGTTATGAGCCAAGGATTGCAAGAAAAAATTCCAATTTATCACAAACTTTCCTTGATATAATATTGCATGTGTGCATGGAGTTCTTCAACTTGAGAAAAGTTCAGGATCAATTCTGGGAAATTTAAGCAGCAAAGCCCATAAGTTCATGCAGGCTGTTTGGCTTCATGACTATTTTTCCATGACTATTTTTTTTTTAATATCCTAAAGATTTCTTAGAAGTGTATTCAATTAATTACACTGAAAAATAAACATGTAATATGGTAAGATGTGGAGGTTAACTTTAAAATTGTTACATTGCAGCATGTGATTCACAGGCAATTGGTTTGGCCAGCGGTGGTAGAATTCCAGATGACAGCTTCTCAGCCAGTTCAATATATAATTCAAGATATAAAGCTAAATATGGTCGTCTTAATGGAACAGGGGCATGGGAACCTAAGACTACTACTGATCCTGATGACTACCTACAAATTGACCTTCTCTATGAGTATGTTATCTGTGCTGTAGCTACTCAAGGAAATCCACCATCCAATTCAGCAGCTCAAGAATGGACCACAGAGTACAAACTAAGATTTTCTTTCAATGGTACTACTTTTTTCCCTTACAAAGAAAATAAAACTGACAAGGTTGGTATGTCATGCTCTTATATACAAGTATTCATAACAACCAAAATCAATACTTTTGGTACAAAACTAAAGCTACTCACAAGAACAGCAAATTTGCTTATACATGTTATAGAATATTAACAATATTCGCCAATACTTACATTACCCACAATATACTTATGTTGCTTACAAACTATATTGACATCACCTTCAAGAATAAATAGTGACATTTACTCACCAATTCCATGTACATGTGAGGATCAATACATAGTACACACACCAAAAACCATGTAGTCTATTAGTTAAATGTTCATTTTCAGTGGTATGAGAGTAAAAAGATATAGCAAACACCGACCAATTCTAACTGTTTATAGCCATATAAAAAGATGCTATAAAATTTAAAGATGGTGAATGAAATGGTCCTAATCTCTCTGACAGTTGTTATTTAACCTGTGGCATTCCTCAAGGGACAATCCCTGGTCCTCTTGGAATGACTTGCTGAAGTATCTCAAGCTCTTTTGTTTTCAACATAGGATGTATGCACTTAACCTACAGATAGCAGATTCCCATCCTGCACATTGCAGATTCTCATTTTGAGTTTTTTTTTCTCAAATTATAGATTTTTATTTTGCAAATTGAAGATTCTAATTTTATCTCATTTCACAAATTAAAGTAAATCATTAACTATGCCAAGTTTCAATACATCAATATCACATTTTATATAACAGGCCTTTCCAGGAAATTCAGGAAAAACTGACACAGTTAAAAACAGTCTAAAGGAATTTGCAAGTGCAAAGTTTATACGCTTTTTGCCAACAAAGTATTATAGGTTCAAGGTTTTGAGAGTGGAGGCCTATGGAATACTTTTCACTAAAGGTATTTATTTGTTCTCATTTTTGTCCCTCAGATACAAAATGAAGTCACAATAACTAATTATTAGGACAAAATCAAGGCAAGATTGGCAATTTTTCAGAACTGTGGCAAATTTAAATACTCTCTGATACTTAATTATTGTCTTTTGGTTTAATGAGAATGATGAAAGTATACACTATGTGATTTTAGAGCTGAGCATTAGAGAATTGAACAATTATCTCCTACAAAACTGAAGAGAATGACAAAGTTTGACTTGTTATTTATTGGATTGTTGATTTGGGCTTTATTTGTTGATTTTGTTGTTGTTTTTTGTATTGATAAAAAATTGAGAGAATTATTAAACTAGAAGGAATTAGAAGGAATTAAGATGTAGTGCAAGAAGAGGTAACTGAAGGTGGTAAACATTCATTAATTTTGGTCCATGGTATAGTATAGTATAGTGAACTTTTCAATGTTCATTTTACAGATACAGTGAAGGTTGAAGGAGAGCTGAGGATCTAGTGTCATGATTATGACTATGAGGACTTCTCTAAAATAAAATTAAGGAAAGGCAAATTTAAGTAATGATGGTAGTTATACAAAAACATAGATTTTGCAATTTTTGTGAGGGAATTTAATTTCTTTATGTTTATTCCAGTCCCATCACAGCCTCCTACTGCCTTCAAGCTGACTGCAACATCTTCTACCAGCATTGCAGCTTCCTGGCAGTTACCTCCAGTCTATGCCAGACATGCGACTATTAAAGGGTTTAAACTTTTTTACACAGAGAAAGGTTCTGGTGTGTCAGTGACAAACTTGACTATAAGTGGGGAATCGACATTCAGTAGAAATGTCACAGGGCTTAATGAGTACACAGAATATGCATTTCAAGTGCTGGCTTTTACTTCTGATGGTGATGGACCAAAGAGTTCTGTTGAGGTGGAAAGGACAATGGAAGATGGTATGTGACAGATTAGGAACAATGATAATCTAATTGCTGTATTTATAGTTTGTTAAACAGTATGTTCATCAGGAGTGTGCTGGTAAATTGGTGACCAAAAGAATGCATAAGCATGCAGTTTTTTTTGAGTGAATCAATATATATTTTCTCAAAAATTTGAAAACTTACAGCAATGATGTTGAAGTGGCAGGTAGAGAATTGAGATACTTCAGCCATTAGAAATTTTTACAAATGAT